GAAAGAAAAAGATACACAAATGGATTATGGATGTTGATTGATGGGAAGTAATTAAGATCAAATATAGGAGTAAAACCAGAAGTATTAAAAACCTGGAAATACCAAGCCTAGTAGGAGATAGAACAGAGAAAAATGGTGATGAGAAAAGATATTCAGAAAAAAATGGGGCTTAGAAATACAAAAATCAGAAATATAAGTTTATTTTGAAAATTTACAATACTATGTTTGGTAAGAGGAATAAAAGAGATTTTCTGGTGTAGTTGAAAGAAATAAAACTGCTAAGTGTTGAGTCTTCGAGTAGTTGCTCTGACATGAACAAGTTCCATGGCTATAGGAAAGACACTGCTTGGTGGCTTAGTTTCCTCATTTATAAATAAAAAAAGATAGCAGCTTTTAAAGTCCTTTCAACACAGAACAGTAAAATAACTAAGTAGAAAACTTTTAAAAGTAATGTGAATGCTTGGAGTTCATTGAATTCATTTTTTCTTATTGAAATTTAGAGTATGTTTGAAAAGCATTTCAGAAAGATGTTTACAGATACCATTTGCATGCTATGTAGCCAATGTGGTGATACACTGAACACACAGGCAGGCTTGCTCACATGATTTAGTCTTTCTGGCACTCTTCTCTCATATTCTACTATGTATTCCAACCTCCAGAGGGTCACTTTCTCTCATATTGGCTCACTGCACCATTAACACCTTGGGCTCAAGTGATCCTCTTGCCTCAGCTTCCTAAGTAGCTAGGACAACAGCCCCCTTTGTGTTCTGAATCCTCACCAGCATCCTGGTTCCATGAGAGAGAACAGAGGCAGAAGATCAAGATAAACTTTGGGCCAGGATCAGTGGCTCTCACCTGTAATCCTAGCACATTGGGAGGACAAAGCAGGCAGATCACTTGAGCTCTGGAGTTCGAGACCATCCTGGGTAACATGGAACTCATCTTTACCAAAAACTAGCCAGGCATGACGGTGTGCACCAGTAGTTCCAGCTAACAGAGAGGCTAAGGTGGGAGGATCATCTGAGCCAGTGAAAACAAGGCTGCAGTGAGCTGTGGTCACACAGTTGCACTCCACCCTGGGTGACAGAGGGAGACCTTGTCTAAAAAAAAAAAAAAACAGATAAACTTTGGTCATTTCTAAGTTTGGAAAATGGAGGTAGGGAGTATATGGAAGAAATGCATTGTCTTCACTGGGGATAAGGTAATCACAAATTGGGGACAGGTAAAGAACTGATTAGAATCCAGGAGGAACACAAGGGACAACCAAGTTGAAGAAGCCAAGGTTGCCCCTGGAGACATATTTGTAGGTCTTCCAATAACTTATCTAACTCCCAAAACAATAAGCCTCTTTTTCAATTAAAAAAAAAAGCTTAATTATTTTCTTTATTGTTATCAATGGCTTAACAGTCAATGGTCTTTGAAATACTCTATGAGCTAGACATAGCAGGAAAAGTAAACAGTGTTACATAAGCCATTGTGTCTCTGATCTATAACAATAGAAAGAGACGAAGCTTCGTTTGCATATCTTTAAAAGTGGAAGCTCAACATCTTATCATTTGGTGGAAAGCATTTCAATTTCAAAATCTAAAAGATGTAATCTGGGAGCAGTAAAACCTTCTTTATTTTTATTTTCTTGGAGACAGGGTCTCGCTTTTTTTCCCCAAGCTTGCGTGATTTTGGCTCACAGCAGCATTAACACCTTGGGCTGAGGTGATCCTCTTACCTCAGCCTCCTAAGTAGCTAGGACAACAGGCACGTGCCACCATGCCAGCTAATTTTTTTTAAGTGAGGTTTTTTTTTTTTTTTGGTGGAGATGGGGTCTTGTCAAACACATAAGAGGGATTGTGTCTAAATAATCTTTATAGTGCTGCATGGTGGCTAAAAAGGGTCCTTTATATCATCTTGCTGGCCTAAAATTTCCTCTTGTTTGATTTATGTTTTCTTTTAATTTACACATTTCACTGTGGTCCATGAAAGAAAATCCAGCCCCCTTTGTGTTCTGAATCCGTTGTGTGAGAGAGAACAGGAGCAGTAGCAAATCCTGAAGAGGGTGTCCTAGGTTGCCTTTCAAGTTGGCTATACCCTGAAACCTTCAGGAGCGGATGTAGTATGGACTTTATCTTTTTCTCAAGTTTCTGATGTAGCAACAGAGCTATGAGGACCTCATTTGTTTATCCCGTAGACTGGTTTTGGAGCTTGGAAATGTGGGCTTTGCACAGTAGGCACAGAGCGCTGCTCTGCAGTGGGGAATGGAATGGGAATAGGTAACAGTTCTTTGCCTGTGAAGGCTGGGAGGGGCTGCCAGCAGCCAGCTAGGTCAGGGCAGGTTTGTCAGAGTTCTTACTTGCCCTCATCCAGACAGAAGCTTTTATAGGAAATAAGAATCTAAGCCCCAAAATGTAATTCAAGCTGAGAAACTGTGCGTTGTGAGTACACTGCATCAGGCCTCCTGTGGGTGTTCTGGGACCTAAGCATGTGTCTAGTTTTAGATCAATGATGTACCTCAACTCATCAACACCAGAGGTGTGAATAGAGCCATTTAATCCTTTTGACCAAGGGTTGACCTGTATAAAAATGCATCCAAGTTATCCGTTTAAAATATGTGTTTAACGGAGTAAAAAACAACATTGCTTCCTGACTCCAAAGAATTTGTCCATTGTCTGGAAAGATAAGAGCTTAGATATTCATAATTGAAATTAAAACCTGAACCTAAAAGAAAAAGAAACTTCCAAGTGTATTGGGGAATGGGATGAGGATAAAGGGGCGGCTGAGGATCATGATGACTTTTGAAGAAATTTATATTATAATTTGTTAAGAAAAAAGGCTTTTTGTAAAGAAGCCTATGAGATCGTTTAATCAATCCTTTTTCCTTCATTGTATTTCATTTCATATATCAAGCAACTGCCTGATTTGGCCCTGCGGCCTGCCCTGCCTTCTATGTGTTCTTAACCCCACAGAAGACATGCTTGCTAACTTGGGGAGTTATAATCCTACATAGAAAAAATAGCCAGCAAAAGACCAGGATACTTGTGCATGTTCAGGATCATTTATTAATCTCTCTCTCAGCCTCATCAGTAAAATGGTGAGAATCACCTTAGTACTTGCTTCATGATGGTGCCATGAAATCATACATGATGTAAAGGGCTCAGCATAACATCAGACATACTATAAACACTCAAAAATATTACATGTGATGTTGTTAGCATTAATTATTATGCCATATGACAAGTATTTTCTTGGCTTCGTTAGCCTGAAATTGGAGAAATATGAGAACATTTGTCTAGGTCGATCTCAGGAATTTTGGGACTCCCCTGAACCCAGATCTCACTTCCCTCATCAAGCTTCCTTGGCATACTCAGAGAATGACCCCTTGCGACCTTCAGCAGATCTAACTTCTCTCTCCTCATGGGTTCTCTGTTTCCCCCTCTAGAGGACGAGTCAATTTGTTTAGAACAGGAGCACCTATATAACCTGGTATCCACAACCTTGGAAAGCTCTCTTTCCTCCTTCACCATAGGGACCAGACAAACAGACAAGGTTAAGTGCAAAATTCTTTGCTTGCACATGGAAAAGACCAGCATCATTCATTTTTAGTTGTATTTTGTCATTTTAATACTAAATATTAAATGAATTTCTTGTCTAATCTATACAGACTTCCAGGGAAATATACTCTCCCAGTTAAGCTTTGAATTCAGTCTGACTATTCCTGGCATGAAAGTCCTTAATACAAAGGAAGCCAAGGGGATCCAGGAAGAAACAGAGGTGGAAAGTAATGTCAGGGCACTGGGAGTCCCCACCCTGGAGGTTCTAATTTAGGAATCTCTAGTGAGACTTATGTATATGTTTACCAAGATCTCAGATGATTCAAAAGGAACCTTGAAAAGCATTGGAAAAAAGCAGTCAAGACAGGGGAGGAGGCAGAAAAGTGGTCCAGGACTTTGACAACAAGAGCCAGGAATTTTGGTTTGCCTTGGTAGACAATGAGAGAACACTTAATTATAACCAGAAGGATCATGAAATTCACTCATTGTCATGCTGTCTACTTGTTAACTCACATGGTGGAAATAAGAAAGCTGTTTTTAAGTATTTTCTAGAAATATAGATACAAACAATGAGGTACAATCATTTGCATGTTAAATTCGCAAACACTTAAAAGTTATAGTACCTAAAACTGGCAGGGATATATCTTTATATTATGTTACAACTGCAAAGCATTTTATTAACACATAAAACCATTGAAATCTTATGCTCTTTGACCCAGTAATTCCACTTCCAGCAATCTAATCCAAAATATAAAGCAAGCCACAGTGTTAAACATTCATCACAATACTGTTTACAACTATAAAAGGTTATGTAATCTTTAAAATATTAAATCTGTAGACATAGAAAAACACCTACTATATAAATTAACTGAAAAAAAGCAGAATCTAAGCCTCTATGTTTATAATTATTTGAAAGCATTTTTAGAAAACAAAAGATGAGGAAAAATATTAAAATTATAATAATTATATTTAAAGCAAGGATTTGATTTTTATTTCTCTTTTCTCCAAACTTTAGGTTATGAAATTATCTCACTTCCCAAATTAAAAATAAAATTATAAAATCAGTTTATTTTATAATTAGTTTATATAATAACTCATTTAATAACTGTAAATTCAATTTACATTCTAAAACATTTATCAACCACTGCCATACTTTTTATGATTTCCTGATCATGGAGCTCAACTGGAAATGGAAATAAAATTAGAGAAACGTGAAAGCTTTGGTAACTTTATTATGGAGGCAAATTAGTGGACAGAAATCAACTCCATTTAGTTCTATTTGGATCTAAAATATCTCATAAAATAACTCATTATTAATATTTTTACTGAAGACATTAAATAAGTACCTTTTGGGAGAGGGTGTTTCAGCTACATTCACAAATTTTCTTTCCTGGGTCTGGAGCTTATTCTGTCCCTAGTGCTTTAGTGCTTTTTCTTTTCTTCTTTCCTAATTTTTTTAATTAAAATATTTTAGAAAACATTTTGACCACACAGGAAAGTTAAAGAGCTCAGCAATGAATCCCATACACCCACCAACCTAGGTCCTAATTTAGTTTTAATTTCTCACAGTTACTCCAGTTCTTCAGTTTATTAGAAGAAAAAATATGTTTTATACTTCATCTACAACATAGTTTGTTTTTACCATTACTGTGGTGGAAATGGATGCTAGCCACATGCAGCTTCACTACTAGAACTAAGGTGTCCAGAAAATATTTGTCAAGCAGAAGAAAGAGATTTGGATTTGTCTGAGTCACCATCTTGGAAGCACATTTTTCCTTGGAAGTTTGTTCAGAAAGGCAGCATTCTTCTCTTTCTTTCTTCATACTGCTATTTTTTTAGACTCAGCCACTGTCTCCAGCATAGCATTTGCATTATGGAATTCTGTGGTTAATGTTTTATTAGCAAATAATTTTACCTTCAATATACAACTTCAGTGTAACTAAATACTATATTTTAAATGTATTTAATTCCCATGGAAGACACACCTATTAAATAAAATTATAAAAGAAAAAGTAAGATAATTCCGTTTTCAATATTGGATTTATGTGAATGTTTTCAAGGATACATACAGCTTGTTAAGATTTTTTTAAGCGATATTTGCCAGAAAACTTGAACAGCCAGTGAAGCAGGCTTTGATAGTGAAAAGCACAAACTTCAGTATCTATCAGATCTGAATTCAAAGTCTCATTCTGCCACTTTCTAGCTGTGTGAGTCTGGAAAAGTTAACCACTTTTCTCTGGACCTTTCTTAACTTGAGTTAATAAAACCTACATTACAATCTTCTTGTGCAAAGTGAATGCTTAGCGTGACATCTTACACATAGAAGATGTTCTAAAACGTTCATATCTTACTATTTTGTTATATGATGAAAATGTCCGAAAGGCACTTCCTCTAATTGTCGTTTTATCAAAAATTTCAACTTAAGCATTACTTGACCTTTTTAAATCTCTCTCTCCTCAGCTCTATAATGGAAGCAGACACATCTAATTAATGAGATTATTGTGAACATGAAATAAGAAATTATTTGAAAATGTTCTTTGTAAATTTGTGAATCTCTATATCAACTTAAAGTTATTATTTATATTGTTACAGATGGTCCCTGATTTATGATGGTTCAGCTTATGATTTTTTCAACTTCATTATGCAAAAGTTACATACATTTAGCAGAAATCATACTTTGAGTGCCCATACAACCATTTTTTAAACTTTCAGTACAGTATTCAATAAATTAAATGAGATATTCAACAATTTATTATAAAATGTGTTTTGTGTTAGATGATTTTGCCCAATTGTAGATTAATGTAAGTGTTCTGAGTATGTTTAAAGCATGCTCGGCTAAGGTATTATGTTCAGTAGGTTAGGTGTATTAAATGCTTTTTCAACTTACAATATTTTCAACTTATGATGGGTTTATTGGGATGTAACATCATCTCAAGTCGAGGAGCATCTGTATAATGAAATGATTACTGACTTACCAACTGCAGGTGATTCTGTCAAAGACATTAAGATCATCATTGCCTGATCCAAAGCTTACTTTGCAGCTTTATTGTTCGTCACCCCCTGCTGTTGAGCCATTCGGTTTCTTGAAACATATCCATGTTCTTCCTTTTGCATCTGGAGCCCTTTTCTATACTATTTTCCTCTTGCCTCTTTGGATACTCCTTCTCAGTCCATCTATGACTTCTCTTTCACTAAAAACTCCTCAAAGCATTGAGATTGCTTGGAGTGTCCCCTTCTCTTCTAATTCTGCTTGCTCTGCTTAGATAAGCTGACTCACACCTTATGTTCCAATTACCTCCCTAATGCAAATGACCTCTGTGCCTTATCTGCAGCCCAGGCCCCGCCTGAGCTTCAGAGCCAAATGTCCAACTACTCATAGTTGTGCTCTCTCTGAACATCACACAGACACCTTAAGCCCAGTGTCTTCAAACACATGCCATCATCCTCTTCTACATTCCTACTCCAGTTGGGCTTTTAGTAAAGCATTGCCATTCACAAAGTTGTCCAAGAGAGAAACTGCAGAACCATTTAAAAATTCTCTTTTTCCTCCAACATTCACATACTTATTAAAACTTGTCAGTTCTTGAAATAGTTCTCCAACTCCACAGCTCTCTCATCACCTCCAATAATCAAATTCAAGCCACTGATACTTGTCACCTGAATTTTAGCCACTGTCTTCTAACTGCTCCCCTTTCTAAAAGTTTTCAGTAATCCTTTCCTTACTTATATTCAGAATAATATTTTCTGAAATGGAAAATCTGGACATTCCTGATTTCTCATCAAAACTCTTTGAGGGCTTTCCATTGCCTCACATGTAGGAGGTGCTTCATAACCAGGTGGCTCCCACTCACCTCTTGCTCTGTTTTTCATTCTTCTCTATGGTCCAGTCATGATGATGTGTGGCGCTTCCTGGTATCCTATCCTCTCGTATCTTGGGACATCACCCAAGCTCTTCACTTTGCTTGCTTTAATGACTACATCCTGCCATCCTCTACCCACCTTGATACACACATGCAACACCTGTTCCGATTCTTTATTTGCCTCCAAACTTAAAAGTCACTTCCCTGAAAAGTCTTCTTTGAAGTGCTAAGGTTCCCCTGCTCTTTGCTGCAACAGAAAATTATACTTCCCCTATTTTAGATTGGTCACTGTGTACTGTAGTTATTTTGTCAGTTACTGTCTCTAAACCGTAAAAATTTTTAAGGCAGATACTATGTCTATTTTTGTCCATCATTGTATCTTTAAGGCCTGGCAACAAAAACTGATTTGATTATATTTGGGCTTTTTAAATCCAAACTTGCTTCTTGGGCTGTTCTTAATAATTTTATTAATTTAGAATCCACCCTAGGCAGAAAAAGCAATAATGTAACATATGTTACTGACAAAGTTACAAGAGAATACAGGATTTTTTAAACCAAAGGTTCGCAGACTTTTTCTAAAAAGGGACAGAGAGTAAATATTTTAGGCCTTGTGAGCCATGATGGCCTTGACTGCAATTACTCAAGTCTGTCATTGAAGCATAAAAAGCAGATTTAGACAATACGTCAACGAATGAACATGGCTGTGTTCCAGTAATACTTTATTTACAAAAACAGGTGGCAGGCTAGATTTAGCCCACAGGCCTGGTTTGCCAACTGCAGTTATAAACAAATATGGAAGCATTTTGATCAGTAATATGTTATCCCCTTAGAAATGTTTATGTAGAAAAGACCATTGGATATAAGTAGGGAATTTGGTGCTATCAAGAGAAGCTTATTTATCTTTTAGATGGAAATGTTGGTAGTATTAAAAGTAGAGAAGCAAAACTCATAAGGAAAGATCCTAATGGATTGGCAGACATTGTATAACTTTAAAAATGCAATTAACAAATCCTGTCATTTGTCTCTCTAGGGATAAGAATAGCTACATTATGTGGCAGGCTGTAATGTATGAATTGAATATGGCAGTGCCAGATACATAATATGGCAGAGATATAATCTGGAAAACATAGGTGTGAATCAAAGGGGCTACAGGCTCCAAATGGGAAACACAGCAAATGCTTTCTGCCGTCACTGTAGAACAGTGGTGGATTAACACACGTTTCTCTCATTCTACTTGGCAATTGCCCACTAAATGAGAATAGCACACACTTTACATCAGAAGGGAAGTGCCAAAATATTGAGAACTTCTTTTATTACATCAATCATAGGCTCATGGTCTCCATTATTCAGCCTTTTATTGTTCCTTGCAAAGAGATTTTATCCAGAGAACAATACCTATAAATGTGAATGGCATGCTGCCTTCAGGTTGAAAAAGTTATACACAGTGTCCTAATTGACTTGGATCCTTAAGACTGTACACATCAGTGGCTAACTAACAACCAAAAAAAAAGAAGGGAAGAAAATTACCTTTGGTTTAAAAAAAACCTGAGTCTACACTTTATGTTCAGTCTAAAATCAAGGACACACTTTCAACCTTTCACCTTCTGACTCTGCTGTGGAAGGGCCAGGTCAGCCTCCAAACAGGAACACTTCCAAGTGACTGGTATTTTTTATTGGTTTTCAGTATATGATATTGAAGCACTTTATTGTCTAAAAGTAATTATATTTATTTGAGACTGTTACTGGAGGAAGGAAAATAAATATCCAGTGGACCTTTATAAAGTTTTAATATAACTTTGTGTAAAATATTAAAAAACATACTTATCTCCACTTTTCATACTCTTTTTGGCTCACTGTATAAGAAATATTTGCTTTCTATTAATGTGCATTAGAAGTTCTTATGTGCTAAGAAGACAATAACAACAAAACTACTATTTTCAAAGACTTAAAAACCGTTCTCTTCCTTTAATCACAATTTATTCTTTCTTGCTTTCCTCTGAGTATATCAAGCCTGGATTAAACTAGACCAGACTTTTTCAATAGTTGTTATCTTGTTTTAATAGAAACAAAAATTGTATCCTACTTTCTGAGAGCCTGTGTGATACTGACCATCTTACATGATGATCTCTCTGTGTCTCAGTTTCTTCATCTATAAAATAGGAATTGTAATCATGCATATGTCACAGTGTTGTAGGAAAAAATAAATGTGCTAATATATAAAGACTTAGAACCCTGCCTGGTACATGGTAGGCACTCTGTGTATAGGCTGTTATAATTATTATTGTTATTATTTTTCCAAAAGGATCTGATTATCTTGTATTTTGTTACACAGAAATACTGAGCTTAGAGATCCCTATAGGCGCCACATTGCTTGGTGACTTCACTAATGCTGTTCCCTCCCTGGAATTACCTTCTTCAGTCTGTGGATCTATCCAAGCCTGTTTCATCTTGGCAAATATTGTTCAGCTTATTTGGCAAATATTGTTCAGCTTATTGTTAACCTCTTCCAGGAGGGCTTCCTTGATGCCCTCCTCCTGTCCCATGTGGAGATCCTGATCTCTTCCAACTGTGTTATCTCTTTATTTTGAATCTGTGATGCTGAATTATTATTTATTTGTTCACATTTCTGTCTACCTTCTTGATGTTAGGAACTGTGTCTTACTCATTTCTGTATCCCTGTTGCCCAGTACAATGACTGCCTGATTCCAGTGGGTTTTCAATCAAGCTTGTGGAACTGAAGTATTGCTCAACAGCATAATGTTCCTATAAAGTAAACAGAAGCAAATTAGAGGCCATATATTCGACAAAGAATTAGGATTTTAGTTTCCCTAAAATTTCTGATCTGGGTAAGGAAAGCCAGAAATATATAAAACATCTCACTCACCTTTAAATTAATCTCATTTAATCAACAATATTTATTGACTAGCTGCTCTGTGCTTAGCCCTATTCTAGTTCCTTGGAATACTAAACAGAAAAAGAAAAAGCAATTCCTACTCTCATGAGGCTTATGTTATAGAAGAAAATAATAAATAATAAGTAATAAGTACATAAAGGAATAAACTAAATGTAAATGAAAAGTAAATTATAGAGTGAATTAGAAAATAATAAATGTTATTGAAAAAGGAGGTGAAAAAAGGGGCTTGGGGAAGTGGGTTGTGAGACAGGAGGAGCAGTCTTTTGCAACATCAAGTAAAGTAGTTAGCACTGGCCTCACTGGGAAGGAAAATCTGAGCAAACATTTGAAAGAAGTGAAAGAGTGCACTAAGGACATACGTGGGGAAGAGCGTTTCAGGCAGAAGAAACAGCCAGAGCAAAGCCTGTGAGGTAGAAATGTGCCTGGTATGTTAAAGCCAGCCTGTGTGGCTCAACTGGCATGGGAGGAGAGGAGAGTAGGAGATGATATCCCAGAGGTGACGGGACCAAAGCATCAGTTCGATGTCTTTCATGTTCAAAAGGTCAAGTATAAGAAGTCTCAGAATATTGTTTTGAAAAATAAAATACCCTCTGCAAATGTTGCATTGTATTTGAAAAGCCATCTAGGGCAGCTAGAATTCTCAGGGAAATCTGGAAAAAGACAAAGAAACTCAAGCAGCAAGCCTAAAGGAAATAAGGCAGTGAAAAGAGAAATTTAATATGTTTTGCTTCTGTTATCTTTTTATTAGACCTGAAGGAAAACTTTGTTCATAGGAAACCTTATGTAGTTGCCTGCAGATGCAATTTTTGTGCTTGAAGCCTAAAGGCTTGAGAAACAGAGGAAAGGAGGTTCTTATAGTCATACTTCAAAATTAGCCAGGCTAAGGAAAATGCCTGTGAGCCTAAAGATATTTCTGATTTTCATCACAGGGCTGTCAGTAGTTTGTACAATGCCAGCAATGAGTAATTTTTCCTTAACTTTGGAATATATTTATGTTATGGAGACTTACACAACTCTAGTAATGTTTAACAATTAATTGTTTAATTCTTTCTCTCACTAATATTTATTAAGTGCCTGCTATGTGTCAGGCACTGTTATAGACACAAAGAATGTGGTCATCATTAAAACAGACAAAATTCCCTTTCCTTATAGAGTCCAAAATCAAAGAATGTCCAAAATATGTGTTAGGTAGTAGAAAGGGCTATAGGGAAAAATGAAGCAGTTTCTGGGGACAAGTACCAAAAGCAAGGGTGTTAGGAAGATTGCTATTTTATACAAAACAGCCAGAGAAGGCCTCTCTGACAAAGCAACATTTGGCAGAACCTTGAAGAAAGTAAGGAGCGCATAATTGGGATATCTGGGTAAAAAGTATTTCAGGACAATGAAATAGCTAGTGCAAAGGGCCTGAGGCAGGAGAGCATATGAATGAATAATGCTTTATGGCTTAGCGTTCACTTTCATTCATATTCTTTCTCTTATGTCATCATAAGATCCTCGGGAAACAGAAATGGTAAGTATTGCTTCCCTTTTTTTTGGCCAACGAATGGAGTAAGTAGCAACAGTTTGGTCAATAATGCCAGTAAGTGGTGTCACAAGAACTAGAGCCCAAGTAATTCCTAAAGTACTGCTCAGCCATGCACTTACCTATGTGCATGGTGCCTTGACAAAGCCAGATGTGCTACAGGGCCTCTCAGGAGCCCTCAGGTATAAGCGAAGTTGCAGGTAACTGATGTCTGCAGGATGTGCACAGCAGTTGGATGCACAAAATGCTTGATATGGTTTGGCTGTGTCCCCACCCAAATCTCATCTTGAATTTCCACATGTTGTGGGAGGGACACGGTGGGAGGCAATTGATTCATGAGGGCAAGTCTTTCCTGTACTGTTCTTGTGATAATAAATAAGTCTCATGAGATCTGATGGTTTTAAAAAAGGAATTCCCCTCCACAAACTCTCTCTTTTTGCCTGCTGCTATCCACATAAGATGTGACTTGCTCCTTCTTGCCTTTCTCCATGATTGTGAGGCTTCCCCAACCATGTGGAACTGTGAGTTCTCCATTAAACATCCTTCCTTTGTAAATTGCACAGTCTCAGGTATGTCTTTATCAGCAGTGTGAAAACAAACGAATACAATTCTCATAATTGCTCCTGATTCAGCCTGAACAATACCAACAGACACAGGGGTGGCATATGTCTGCCTTCAAGGGATACCCTGTTTAAGACCCCCTTCTGAGTTCCTATTTCCTGACCTAGAATCCAACTCCTCCCCTGATGCCTGGGAGTGAAAACACCCTCCCTTCTGGGGAAATCTGACCTCTCACCCACAAAAGTGTGGTCTCTTGCTCTGACCCCATCAGGGCAATAGCATTAGATCACAGTATTCCAGCAGCCGTACCGTTTCCAGGCCCTGAGGGATTCGGCCTTAAATACCACCACATGTTGGACATTACCAGACCATCCCACTTGCGCTTTGCATAGCCTGCCCCAATTCCCTTTTTATAGTGGCTTTTCCTGCATGAAGGAAAGGTTATGCCTGCATAGCCCTCCTGCAGCTTTATCAGTCTCAGTTCCTGAGGCCCTGTCAGCAACTGCTCAAACAAGAACACACACACACACACACACACACACACACACACCCCTCCACGGAACACACAGTAATATACAGGCACCCTCACAACTTCATTATTAAGTTTAGGTAACATTTATATAAACCATCATTATAGTTTGTCTCTCATATATGTGTGTACAGCCATGTACATATATACATATGTATCCACACATATACATATTCACATATTTAAACATGTGCACATACATGCATGTGGACACATTCTCAAGTGGCTAAGCAAATATTCATTTATTATTAATTGTAATTAATATTTATCATGTCTCACAACTGGCATGGCAAGTAACTGATTTGTATATGGGACTGTTTTAAATTATACAACATAGTTATTAAAATAAAAAATTCTTGAGCATCTTGCATTTAACTAGGGAATAAGTGTTTCAAAAATAGCAGCAACTCCCCATGATAGACATTGGCAGCCTGGCTTCCCACTCTCCTCTTTCTCTGGGGTTATCTAACTCCTTAGAATGATTCATGTGTCAGTTTTGCAACAGTGATTCCTAGAATCCCCCTGGTGACTTTTGGCTGCTTCTTTTTCATGTCTTAAATTTTTATTTATGTGCTTTATATATAAATTAGAATTTTTGGTTTCACGGGGCAAGTCCTACAACACAATAATTAAAATACCACACTATATTCTCAGGCCACAGTTACAAACAGTAAGTCAGAATATTTTTCTTTGTTTTCTTTTTGTCCTTTGCTATTGTTTACTAGTATACTGTGAATTTGTAGAGAAATTTTACAGAGTGCAAAGAACAGTTGAAATTGTTGATTTTCCAGGTAGTTTGATGAATATGAGCAGCCAAGGTAATGTATAAGCATGAAAGGTATTCAGTGAACCCAGACTAAGCATCAATGCCATACCCCCTACAACCACCCATTTTCCTCCTCAAATTATGGGTTTGGACTCTTATCCAGTGTTCAGTCTAGAGTCTGAACATAACCCTGTAACTGAGTTGTGGATAATAATATTTACCCTCAGAGCCACCAGTGACAGCCTATAACAATGTGAGATCTCAAGAGATTCAAATTTCCCTATATTCATTATTTGTCCTTAGTTATGAAACATGCTGACTACCTAACTTTAATTTGGGGAGCTTCTCTGGTCAATAATATGAAGGCTTTTATTCTCATACAAATTATTAGAAACATGATGATTCTGAATTCCTTCCCTGACGCATGGTACTTCTTCCTGAAGTGTTAGATCCCTTCCTCCTGTTTGTTGTACAGTGATTTAGAATGGACATCTAGGAGATAATGGGATGTTTTGGTAGAGGTGTTTTTTTCCAGGCATTATACACTTACTATTCTGTTTTATCTCCAAGTCCTTAGTGATAAATGTCAAATGAAGAAAATCCTAAAATGACTAGATATAATTTAAATGCATTAGGTTGATGTTGTTTAAAGGAATGAATGAGTGTAAGAGGGAAAATAGGGCACTGATGTTTTCGTGAGGGCAATGCTTATTGGGCAACAGTTTATCAGTTGGCAAAGGGAGGTACTTGTTCAATACTGGTGCTTTATTCTAGCCAAGAGGAAAGGAAAGACTGAAAGATCAAGGACACAAATGAAAAACAAACATAGAAAGCTGCAAAGTTAAGAACACTGAGAGGAGGAAGCCACAAGGGAACTGGATTATATTTCAGAGTTTAAAAAAAAAAACACCCAAAACCTACAATCTGTCTTGTAAATTAATTCCACACTTAATTTTTGAAATTCTTTCTTATTTTTCCAGACTTGAGCCAATATAAGTGGGATGAAATGTTATAGGGAAGTGGCAGCCAGACATATAGTGGTAAACTAGTTTACTTTTACAATTTCCTTTCATATGTAGATTCAGCACTGCCTTTTCCTTTGTCATTGCTTACAAAGATCTAAGCTTCCTTCCTAAGACATCATCTTTTATTAATCAGCTTATGCACAACAAAGTCCAAGGGACTGGAACTGGGTTCAGACAGATGTTGATAAATGTCTTAAGTTTCTTATAAACTAAATCAAGGCCAGCCATGTTTTATTAATCAGTTAACCTTCATACACACTTTGTCCTCTGTATATTGTCTCACACTTTATATGCCATCCTGTTTACGCTGCTTATCCTGAGTCAATTCAAGACAGTTAGCCTTTATTTAAAAAGACATGTTTCTACATATATTTACTGGCCAACACAAACAGTCATTTACAAATGCATATTTAGCAAAACAGCATTAGGTGTTAGACAGTGAAGAA